TGAGTCATTCTTTTTTTTTTTTTAAGAGAGAGAGAGAAAGAGAGAGAGAATATGAATCTTTTTTTGTAGATGGACACAACACAATGCCTTTATTTTTTTTTTTATGTGGTGCTGAGAATCAAACCCGGTCCTGCCTGTCCTAGGCGAGCGCTCTACGGCTGAGCCACAGTTCCAGCCCCATGAGTCATTCTTTGCTCAAATACAGTGTTTTTCTTTTAACCTATATAGAACAGTGATGAAAGTTGTTATGGCTGGATATGAGGTGTACTCCAAAAGCTCCTGCTAATGCAGGAATATTCAGGGGTAAAATAGATTATGAGAGCTATAACCTAAGCAATCCATCCCACTTTGAATGGACTGAGTAGTAACTGCAGGCAGGTAAGATATGGCTGGAAATGGTGAGTCTGCTTCTTTGCTTCCTTGCTGTTGCCATGAGGGGAGCTGCTTTCCTCAGTTGGGCCCTTACTCCATGATGTGCTGCTTCACCTTGGGCCTAGAGCAAGAGACTCAGACATCTATGGAAGGAGACCTCTGAGACCATGAGCTCCAAATAAACTTTTCCTCCTCTAAGTTATTCTTGTTGAGTATTTTGGTCACTGCACTGAAAAGCTGACTAAAGAAGAGGGTTTGGTGTTAAGTTTACTAGACACTAAGGGATAGTAACTTAGAAGAAGGGATAATGAAAGGCAGGAGAGAACAAAGAAAAAATTAGAATAAGAGTGAGAGAAAACTACAGAGTATAGTCTTTGGTATGAGATAAGGGTTTGAGGGTCCATCACACTGAAGATTGTAACTTTGAACAATTTACTTGCTCTATCTGAATCTTCATTCTGCACCTTTAGCAATGCAATGACAATTGGAATCCTTATACGCTGTGGGTGGGAACGGAAAACAGTGTAAAAATTCATAAAAAGAATTTAAAATAGAACAATACCATATGATCCAACAAAACATGGATGAGCCCGGAGAGCATTATGTGAAGTAAAATAGCACTTGCAGAAGGACAAGTATTGTGTGATTCCAACTGCATAAGGTATCTAAAATACCCAAACTTGTAGAAGCAGAGACTAAAATGGTGGGTGCCAGAACTAAGAGGGAGGGAGAAATGAAGAGTTGCTATATTTAATTGGTAGAAAGTTTCAGTTATACAATAAGTTCTTGAGAGCTGCTTATAGTTCATAGCATTAGTAAAATTAGTTGAGTGTGTGACATTTGGTTAAAAGGGTGGATTTCATACTACCATAAAAAGGCAATGATAATAGGTACAGTATTATTGAAGTGACATAATAAAAAAAAAAAACAAATACATGCAAAGCTGCTAAAACCTTGACTAATGAGATTTAATAGATTCTCAAAACACAGCAGTCATTTGGTAATATTATGTAAGTTCTTACTGTTAAGAGGAAGAGACAACACCTTACCACATTTATAAGCAAAAGGTAACAAACAAATATGTAAACAGAATGTATTGAGGATACATTCTAAATGATACATAAAGTTGTTTACAGGCTTTTTAATTTTTTTTTTTTTTAAATTCCAGGCTCAGGCTCTAGCTCAGTGGCAGAATACTTGCCTAGCATGTGTGGTGTACTGAGTTTGATCCTCAGCACCATATTAAAAATAATAATAAATTAATTAAATAAAGGCATGCTATCTACAACTATAATTTTTTAAGAAAAATCTTAGTTAACTTTCACTTCTACTAATATTCAAGTTTCAAAACAAATAAGTTATAAACAGGGAATATCTTCTACCCTTAAAATCTACAGTCACATCTCTCCTACCTCTGCTCACTGTTAACACTTTATTTTTTCCTTTTCCAGGGATTTTTTTTTTTTTAGCAATAATGTAAAAATGAGGGTTTTACTTATGTTTTCACATAAATGTACCATACTTTACACGAAGTTCTGCCTTTTTAGTTAATATATGATGAATCTCTTTACATATTGTATATATATTTAAAGTGATATATAAAGTCTCTTTCTTTTTTCATTTCTTTTTCTTTTTTTTTAAACATATCAGAGTGGTATTTCCATTGCCTGAGTCGAAAATAATTTCATAAATTGAACAATATGGAATTGCTGATACTTAATTAAGACCTAAAGAAATGACAGTTTCAAATAATTTATCATATTTAACTAATTCCTTTTTGAAGGACATTTTACATTTCATAAATAAGTTTTATTATAATCTAGTCATTAATTGTTGTCTATGACTATTTTGTGCAGCAGTGTTAGATAGATGTGACACAGATCACACAACCAGCAGACCTAAAAGTATTTACTATCTGAAAAAAATACTTAAGTTATTTTCTTAAAGAACTTAATTGTTTTCTATTTGAAAAATCTGATGATACCATAAAGGCCTGGCTTTACATAACTGTACAGTTCACCTTCTGCTAATGGAGACAATTGCTAACAGCTATAACATCACTTTTCATACTTATGTGAAAACTTGGAATTGAAAAGATTAATTCTGAACAAAAATCATTGATGTTAATGAAAGTTTTGTCAGCATTTTGTCTTTGGGCACAACCTTCTCAAAGAAATAGTAATTAACATAGGTGCTGATAGTTTTTCAGCAAATTTGTGTCTACCAGTTCTCATGTGGTTAGTGATATTACTATTGTTCCCATGGAAGATAGTAAGTGCTAAAAATAGTTTATCTATATTACATTTTCTTCATTAACTTTCTACAAAATGAAAATTTAGTACTTAATTTTTTATTTAACATGCATTTTCTTTTTTATAGTTCATGTACAGAAAGAGCTTCTTGGAAAATTATTCTCAATAGGCTATCAATATTATTACTATCAATAACAAATACAATTTTACATTTACACTACATAATAGTAAATGGCCAAAATACAAAATAACCACTTTCAGATTATTCTCTCAACACTATATACCATGACTTTCAGCTTCTGTTTCACACAAACATTTTATTTACACCTGTCCTTTGATTTTCCTGGTTTCTCACCTCATAATATATAGGCAGGGGCAGCTGCTTTCAGTACTTCCCACAAGACCAAGACATGAAGGGGTTAGCTAGCTGTCCCTAGCTGCTCTTGTTCCTAACATTCTTTGTTTTATTACTGGAAAGTCAGTATGTAGTCCTTGAAAGGAAAATGTTGGCTACCTTGTCCTGAAAAGTTTCAGAATAGAGAAAAAGATTATATATCAAAATTAGAATTATATACATTGCAAGTTGATGATATCCATATTCTCCTCTAACTATGATGTAAGGATAGACTCCACACAATTGTCATGAGAATTCTAGTCATTTGTTGGTGACTTTATAGATGGTTCCCCTTGGAAGGCAGTTCAGCCCTGTTTGCTCCAGTCAGCTGTGCAGGTTAGTGCAGAGTGTAACATAGCCCAGAGCCTCACAGTCCTGCTTCACCAGCTGCAGTCTGTATATTCACATAGCTCTCAAAGAAGATACTTCAAGTGAGGAAATCCTTTTATCCAGGCATCAAATTTACCTTGACAATTAAAGAAGCAGGAGTGATAAAAACGATGGCTGAGCAATTTAATGTAGTGTGTAATTTTGAGAGGGATGGAAAAGATGCTCTTTCTTTTCTGAGAAAAGGTATGTGCAACACTAGCCAATTAAGAGAAGTATTAAAATTCCATTCATATTCACATTTCTTTAAAGCACTGAGCTGATGCATAAAACATCTATATTGGCCAACTTCTACATAGGGACAATAAGCCAATGATCTCTGAATTCTACCTTCATTCCCCAAAGGAAGAAACGGATGCCAAGAAAATTTAAGTGACCTGGCCAAAGGATATGATGAATGAGTGCACACTCTAGGAACACAAGATACCTTCTTCCTGTATTTGATTAAAAAATTAATGCCAATTTCTTGTAGCAGGCATGTACAGCTTTGACATTTATAAATATATTTTAATGCATTCATACTTCCTGAAGAAGACTGCTTCTGAAATTATATGTTCCATAAATTAATCCCCCTCTTTTAAAATACTACATTAACCCCACACTGTGAGGAAATTGCAGCCCCTCCTAAATAGAACATTCTGCCAAGGCTTAAAAGAAAAGGCAAGTGGGTTTTCTCAAAAGCATCTTGATCACATTCTTGCAAACGTGGCCCTTCTAAATATACCTCAGCAAGGACAGTGTACTGATTATGCAAATGAATTCACTGTTTTCTAGGTCACAGCAGGCTGACTTCTACATAGAATATGCCAAGAGGAATATCAGGGGGTTCTTGTTGCCAGAATGTAAATGGCTTCTACTGACAAAAATTGACTGGAAATGAAAGATGTTATGTAACTCTAATCTTCCCACTCACTTAAAAGAGCCATGATCTGAGACTGTTCTGCTACTCCAGAAAAGATGGTTGTGTTGGTTGACTGCCTAGCTAGATGAGTTAGAAAGTTATGAGCTAAAATTTGTTCTTCCTGTTCTATTATTAACTCTGTGTAGTCTTATAAACTCTTTGGGTCTCAGATTCCTAATGTGAATAATTGTGTTCCCTTTTAAATGGAGGTAGGGAAATATATTTAACTATGATAGTGAATGCCTTGCTCACATATCTAGAGAGAACTTGATCAAAGAATAGTGGCTGTTTAATTTCCTCAGAAGCAAAACAAACACTAGCATTGTTATTATTTTTTATAATAATAATTGAGGTCCTCAGGGGGGCTGATCATTCAGAGGATTTTTGAATATGTGGATTCCCATTTATACTAAAAAGAAAACATGGTTTAGTTGTCATGAAATAAACACTATGCATAGACTAGGAATAAGTCAGAACCAGTTTCTGGTTCTTAATTGTGTAAGACCCTGTGCATGCTCTGAACCTAGCTGAGCCTCAAATAATTCCATCAAAACCCATTATTTCATGAAAGAAGTTTGCTGCTATAGTTAATTAAAAAACAAAAGACTTTTTTTGTGATGGTGTCAACTATAGTTGTTGGAAGTACTGATATCATATTAACATATTTTTGTTGTTCTTCTTTTCTGTCCTGCAGCCTCATTTCCTTGGGAGAAGATTTCAAAGAAAAAAAATTGATCCTCTTTCTATGGAATCTTGCATTTAAAACACAATCAAAATATTCCAAACAAATGTGAAGGTGTAAGATGAACAAATTCTGAATATCCAATATATAACATGATGATTATTGCTAAAAGGAATGTGTTTTTAAATTATACTATTTCCCAAAAGTAACACCGCTGTTCATTTTATATGGTACTTAACAATTTACTTTGTGGTTTCACTGATAGTACATTTGATACTTAATATTCAGTGACAATCTGCTTTCAGTATTATCAATATTCTGTGCATGTGGCTGGACACCTGGAACTGCAAAGTTCTTCCTTATATATTTTTCCATAGAAGTTAGGTTCCCTGTCTGCCTGCTGACCATGCTTTAGCATAACTAAACAATTTGAGTAAGCATCTACAGAATTTGCTCTAGAAGTTTATAGAGCTGCCCTTGATCTTTCAGGTTATGCAGTTTACACTTATTAAAGTGAACACTGACTTGGGCGATAAACTGTTTTAAAAAACTCTGGCCTCTAAAGCTGTGTGATCCTGAGCAAGATATTTTGCTTTTTGGAAACTCAAGTTTCCTAATTGTTAGTGGTGATCATTACATCGAATGCATCTGGCCACTATGGAGATAAAATGAGATCACAGTTTAAGTAGAGCTATCTACTCAATGCCTGGCATGAAGGGATAACTCAATCATTGCTAACTCCCTTTTTCCTTGATTCTTATTTTTCTTTTAGCTGATTCAATATTTTCTTTAGGAACATTATTAGTCTTCCTTTTGACTGTACCAGAATTCTACCTTTACTCACCTGAAGGAATCAGACTAACTAATTTGGTAGGTGCAGTGGAAGAGCATTGAACTCAGAAGCTTTAGTTTACTCCTGTGGGCTCTGTGGGCAATTGCACAGTCTTGGGAAAGTTATATTTGTGCACAACTATTTCCACCCATGTGAAATGAGGATACTCATATTTATCCTACTGTTTCAGAGATAATTTGTTAGTCTCAGAAACAAAATTATGTGAAAACATTTTAAAATTTTTGAAATAAAATTGAAATGGAAAAAAATACAATTGTGATGTTTATGGTTTTGTCCATCTGAAACATGTCCTAGAAAATAAAAGATTTCCCCTTAAAATAATGTAACAAAGTAAGAGAGTAACTGTGTGGTTTGCTTTCCAATCTGATAATCTGGTAATTTTTTTTTTCACAAAGACCCCTGGCATTGTAAATTTTTGGTGGGGAAATGATAAACTGATTCAAGTTTCTTTAGGATGCTCCTTGAAGGAACATTTATTATTTGAATCAGGAATTTTCTCACAGTTTGTCAGATCTGTAGTATTTGGGGAAATAATTATATGTCTTTTCATCTTCTGAGTAGTTTGCACATAAATGAAATACCATCAAGGGACATTTTTGTTCTAACTACAGAAGTGGCACATTTCCTCTCCAAGTACTAGATCCAAATTAACAGCAAAGAATTCACATCTCCAAGTTTGATCTGTAGACCTGAGAACCTCTGCAAGAGCTCATCTCCAGACTCATTGAATAACAACAGTTTTGACCCTGCCTGAAATATATAAAGTTTGACATCAGCTGTAGATGAAAACTGTGAGGAAAACAACAGACCCTTGTTCAGATAGGATGCAACAATTTTCCATTCAAGGTGAATCACTGACACATCTCTTTAGGAAAAAGAACTCTGAAAAGTATTGTGGCTGAACCCATTACAATTCAACAAAAGTTGCACTTTGGTTCATTTTTCACTTCAAAGTGTGCATGTGTATGTGTTTTTCTCCCCTTTCTATCCACTCATTTTCCCGTCTGCGAATTCCTTTTTACCAGAAGGAACTTTGGCAGAACAAAGGTGTCAAAAGAAATTCAAGCAGAAAGATACAATATTAGCTGAACACATAATGGGAGTTAGCAGCATGACTCAGCCAAAGATATTTCAGTTATTAAATCCCAGAAACTTTGAGAAAAAGAAAGATGCACTAAGGTAAAAGAATGAAAACAAGATTACACAGTTAATAAATTATATGATTTCTTGGTCAATTTTAGTTGTCACTTAGGAGCTGAGTTCATTGAAAATGCTTGTATTTACAAGTGACCTTTAAGCCAAAGGACATGGAATAAGAAGAGTATAGCAGGCATTCCTGCTTCTATAAAGCCTAGTGTTGCCCTTAAAGAACATAAATGAAAAGATGCTGACTGACTACCTACTATGTGCCGAGTGCCACCAAATAAGAGACTGCATTAGAGACTCTGGTGAAATTAATATGTTCACCTTTCTAGCAGATTCATTTCTTTTGAGATAGAAATACTTTCCTACATAATTCTACTCCATGAGTCCCTGATAAGTCTGCTTCTCACCATCTTCTCTAATCAGAAATAAAAAATCAGGAATTAGGCAGAAGTAATGGTCAGGTCCTTCTTATGGTTAGGCTAGTGGAGGAAGACTTTGGAATGTACTTTGGGTATGTGGGAGTTGGGATGTTGTCAAGGAGACGCATTTCTAGCAAAATCAAGTCAGTCATGCTAGCAGGAAGGATGCAAATCTCTTATGCAGTCCTGGTTAAATTTTTCTGTTAAGGTTGTCTGATCTTTACAAACTATTCTTGTTGTTTTTCATTTGGTTTTCCTTGGGGAAGATCAAGTAACAGCTAAGTTTGGATAACTTTTGACTTTCTTTTTTTCTCCTCTCCGTAGGCCCAGAGGAGCAGTCAGTCTTCCATTTAGGCAGAGAGTAGGAAATTTACAAGATATAAGGGAAACATTGATACAAGACAATTTCTGAAGGGAGGAACTGTAACTTTGCAAAGGTGTACAATTGTGGAGAAAGAAGCATAGAAGAGTTGTGAATATTGAAAGAAGCAAAGTTTCTTTCTATCATATGTTAGTTAGTAGTTAATAATGAGCAGTAAGATTCATGGCAAGGTCACAGATTTTCTTTAAGTTAATTTTAGAGTCTTTAAAACTACTCCCAAGCCAGATGAGTAAATAACTTATAGCAGATAACTTGTAGAAAAACATTAGGTACAAAGTCCTGGATAATAAAAGATAGAAACAAAAAGAGCAAATTGGGGGCTGGGGCTAAAGCTCAGTGGTAGAGTGCTTGCCTAGCACATGTGAGGCCCTTGGTTCAATCCTCAGCACCCCATAAAAATAAATAAATAGAAAAAAAACAAATAAAGGTATTGTATTAAAAAAACAATTCTTTTTAAAAATAAGAACTAATTGGGGAAATATATCAAGAAAGATTAATGTGACTAACACTTGACAAGGTCCACAGAGGTCAGGGTAAAGCTAGGAGTTATGGCCAGAGGTGCCACCTTACATCTTGGAAGGGAAATTTCTTTAGTAGAGCAGGAATAAGCCACTGATTCCTGTACCCACATTGACGTAAAATTGACTTGTAGATGAAGCCCCCCTGAATAGGATGACCACCATGACAGTTCTGGAAAGGACCAACTAGGGTAAAAAACTCCACAGCTCTACATAAAGAAGGAATTGAACACCAGACTGGGGGAGGGGGAGTGCAGAAGATGAGCCTCAGTCCTTAAGGCAAACATCAAACAGGAATAAATGTGGAAACAGCGGGGTTTCCTTTGTTGTTTTCTACTGGGAGATGGCCCACTTGCTCTTGGGAGTGCTCTTTGCTTGAGCCTTATTTTATTTTCACTTATAATAAAGTTCCCTTGCTTGGATTTGGGTGTCTGACTTTAAATTTTCTTTCATCACAACACAAGAAATGAGGCTTGGAGCTTCAGCTCCCCACTCTTCTATGACATTTATTCTAGAGTTGGTCTTTGGGAAGAACAAATAAGGGATGGAATAGAAAATGAAACAAAACTCAAATTAGACTCTGAAGGCTAAGAATTGTCCAGTCAACTCCAGAGTCCTTCTGTGAGACTCCAGTTTTGTAAGGCACAAAGATACAGAGTAGTTAGTGGTAAAGAAAAAATTTGAAAACATAAAATAAGGAAGCTTGTACAAATATAAAATAAATCTGCAATAATGATTTGAACTAATTTCTAAACAAGGGAAGTGATGGGTATTGAGCGCTGAGCAAATAAGGTTAAGGGGGTAGTTCTATAGACTGTACCCACTATGCTGACAAAAAGCAATTTACCTGAGGCTACTCTGGTTCTGCCTGAGTCAACTAAGTCAACTGAATGTGCTACATTCCTCAGCAAACAACCTGTTACCGACAGGAGAAATGCAGGTCCAGTCCCTCTCTGCCTATAAGAACACAAGTTGCCCCGAAGCGGTAACATTTGTTACTTCTATACAGACCAGATTCCAGGACTCAGAAAGATAGGATAATTAGAAGCAAAGCCCAGTAACCATAAAATCTGAAAGAATAAGTACCAATTAGAACTGGTCAGTGTGGGCAAAGGCAACTAGAAATTGCCTTTGGATCTTTTTTTTTAATATATTTTTAATTTGTTGTAATTAGTTATACATGACAGTAGAATGCATTTTGACACATTATATATAAATAGAGTTTAATTTCTTATTCATCTGGCTGTACATGGTGCAGAGTTACACATGTCACGTAACCATATATGCACATGCTATTACAATAGTAAAATTCCTCTCCATGGGGTAAGACCATGCACAGTGAGGATTTAAAAGTTTGATGCAATCCTACTGTTAGTCAAAAGCCAAGAGATGGACCCGGACAGGACTCTGGAAACGTCCCTAAACAACTGGAGGAAAAGGGGCACATCATCTCTCTCCTGAGAGGACCCATTGTCTCCCTTTATCCCTGGATAGTGTCCCATTTTGCCTTGTCCTTTAAATAAACTCCTTATTGCTGCTATGTGTGACTCAACTGAAATCCTTTCTGTGAGGTTGTCAAGAATCAGTTGTGGATCTCCACATTTTCCTTAGCTTTGCAGGTGGTAATAGGAAGCAATACAATAAGGTTCAAAAAAGAATTTTAAAACTGAGACATGGTCAGAAATGCTGAAATGAACTTGCTAATAGAAGCAAAACTGTTTAATATCCTACTGGGCAATACATTGTAATATTTGTTTTATTGTTTCAGCCAGGAGAAATTGAATTTTATTACTACTGGACAAAATTCATTGCCTAGTTATGAATAGGAATCTTTCATATTTCCATGGAGAGGAATCACTTGCAACTTAACTCTTAAAATTTAATCTCTAAACCTATAGAATAACCTAGTCAATAGAAAATTAAAATTGCATCCTCCTAGAAAATAAGATTATGCTTGGAAAATCTACTGGATAACAATCAGCATGTCACTGAAAAATCACAATGGTACCTTTTGCCCATTTCTGAATCTGGATTTTGCCCTAATCTTAGACTAAAGGGACAACCTATTTTTTTGTGTTGTCTCTGTATGGTTTTGATGTCAGTTTAAAAAATGCTTAATCTTCATAAAGATTCAGAAACTATGTTCACATTGGAAAGTAATTTTATTTTTGGAACTATCCAAAATTGGGAAAGAAATGATTCCTGTTCTCTAGGCATTAGCAGGCATCTGAAAGTAACCTTACTTCTTTGCCTCTCCTTCTCCTTAGTAATTAACATATTCTGTGGAACAAAATAGAATACCTCTTTTTGTGGTATTATAAGGAACAGATTGTTTAGAAAATTTAATAGAGTGTTCCTACTGGTTGCTTTTTAAATGAAACACTTGAGTTCTATGGATCTATAATTTCTATCTTCCCACCTGAAGGCAAACTCTTTCTATGTTTTTGGAATGATGGAATATGGAGTAGATCCAAAGCTTGATGTCAACTTGGGTGGGCACCGAAATCCTGAGCCCTAATATAAGAGGGTAAGAGATGTAACTGAGCCAAACCTGGAGGGAAGTGAATCAGTACAGCAACTAATGATGTATAAGGCAGTCCAAAACTTTTTGAAAATAATACTTGGCGTAACCATGTCAGATGAAATTTAGGAAATAATCATTATTAAAAGTTTCAATACAAAAAAAGGAAAGGATTCCATTTACAACTCATGCTGATGGTAGGTGGAGAT